ATCAAGTATAGGAACAGAAAAAGCAGAACCAGATGTAACAGTAGGAACTGGGAAAGACTCACTCGAAACTTCGGCAAAATGAGCCTGACGACCATGGGGGGAGGGGGGCGCGTAAGATTCCAGAAAGTCTGCTTTGCCACCGATCGACGGACGACCGATGGGGAACAACACGGAGTGTTGGGGAAGGGCCAAAGCAGTCCTCATAGTCCTGCACCAGAGACAAAAGCCACTTCAAAGCAAGGTTTTGCTCCTTGATTAGCTTTTTTTCGGAAGTTATCGTTACAGACGCCAGTGCGGAAATGAACGCCAAGAACCGCATCAGTAACAACTGATGGGAAATCAGAAAAAGCGGCGAGATTTAAAGTGTTACGGAAGCCCAAATAGTTCAGTGCACTCTTCCTAGGGAGACGTAATCAGGCGTAAATCTGGCAATACGCGTCCACAGGGGTTTAGGTCTCGCAAAGACGTGCGGGGGGACTTCAGCAATGAGTGGACATCATTGTCGAACTGCAAGCCAAAGTAGGAAGCTTTTGTGAGTGCTCCAGTCGACATTTGAATACAACTATGTCACGTCTGATTGTTAGAAGCCACCAAGGAGACATTGGCTTAGGAACACTCAAATGTCAAAATTATTTCCCGGTTTTAAGAAAGGAGACGTTTCCTTGGATGACTGCCGTGTCTCCAGCACAGGCATAGGAGCTTGCCACAGCTACGTTCCGCCGACGCTGGTGGGCAATCGTGATGCTTGGTCTCCGGACATACGTAGATGTAATGAACAATCGGGCTAGCACAATGTTGCAGTTAAAATCCTTGTAGTAAAATGTGACTTTATTGGGAAGAGAAAAAGGAAAGATGACGAGGCATCAAGGGTGTGGGAGAGAAACGACTGTCAAAACGAGTGGAGAACCAGAAAGTTCAGCAGCACTGAAAGTGAGGCCGTCGTCCAGTCAGGTATCGTCCTGGGTTCCTTCATTCGGGATTGGCTCCTCGGTATCTACAAATGGACTCCGGTAGGGAGATGTAAGTGCAGGAAACAGAATGTTAAAAAAAATTCTGTAACATATAACTGACTGTTGGGGTGTCACGTATAGGGGTCCATGCCGCGTTGGTCAATATTTGGCGTGTTAACGTGACCCTTAGGCCGCCACCAGTAGCTGCACACATGTGCGTGTGCATGAAGAAGTCAGTCAAGGGTCTTCAAGTCATTGAGTCGGAAACAGTTGCCTGCGAAATCGCTTGACGTTGAGGCAGCGGGCATTGAACAAAGAAATCGGACAGTATTGCTGGCTGTCCGCTACAAAATA